CTCAGTCGGGCACTCGATCGCTTTGAGCTTCGAACTCGATCAAGTCACGTATCGCGCTCGAGTCGACGCTCGCTGATTCGGTACACGATATTATCGCTACCACGGAAGCCGACTCCGTCAGCTCGGAAGCAGCGAAAGAGAGAGGAGACGATTGCTTTATCCAGGGGGAGGTCTGCTTTGTCTTCTCCATGACCTCCTGCTCGTAGGAATCTATTCGTGTGGCACGTCGTGTAGCGCGTCACCGAAGAAGAACAAGATCGCGCACATTATTGTCTTCCTTCCCCTCGGTGGATGGACAACAAATGAGCGACGAGCGCCGAATGATATTCACGATATCATCATGTCGAATGAGCTCGACTGGGCGGATTGCTGCTCGGTGGGTCGTCTTCGCTACCGCGAACAGCTCCGCTGATGAACGGTACCCGGAGTGAGTTTGTTGCAGGCAACGGGGAAAAAGCGACCTCCAATCAAGTGAATGAGCGAGTCGGCCGGCGGCGAAAACCACAATCAGTTCGCGAAGCTGTTTGAGCTTCGAAGTCGACGGGTCGTGGAGCGACGGCGTTGCATTTCTATTTCAGTGACAATTACAAGCTCACGGATATTCCCATCGAATTCAATGCGGCTCCGTGAGTCGCTGGCTTGAGTGCGCCGACCGCGACGCCGAACTTCACTGGACAGGCGAGCGTAGCGACCGATGTCACTTATGACAATTACGCGAGGTGATTACAGTCATCAGATCGGATGTCGTGTGATCGATCGGACAGCCTTCGCGAGTATTCGTAAGCGTTGGGCTCGTGTATTCCTCCTGATGGGTGGACAGATAGCAAAGAACAATACCGGCCGTCGAATAATTATTAGTGGGATAGGTTCTCGCATCCTGTCGGCGTTGACCTCTCGGACGAGGTAGCTCCGAACTCCGCAAATATTTGTTGTCGTTGCTTTGATTGGGACGTCGGATTGAATTGATCATCGAATCAGTCGATCGATTTATAATCAGCGGAACAGTGCGGTACGACCGATAAGCCCGACGAAAGCTCCGTTTGCTCGTCGTCAGCTCGGACAGTTGCCTCCGACTGTCACGGATGACCACTGACGGCGACCGATGACATCAGCAGTAGCTCTTACAACAACGCTTTCTGAAGCTGGAATCGCAACAGAAACAAGAGATCAACTCGTCCGTCCGTTCGTTCGTTCGTTCGTCCGTCAGTCAGTCAGCCAGCCGGCCACGACAAATCGCTGCAGTCATTTTTGTCATTGCTTGGCTCCTCAGCTCACAGGAGTGCGAGCTGCTGAATTTCACGATACCGACCGGTCGAATAACGGTTCGACTAAGTACCTAGCTGTCTTACTCAGTCAGTCAGTCCCTCCAATAGACAGACAGATCGACGGACAGTCAGTCAGTCGCTCGTTCGCCTGAAACGTTCTTCTTCTAGTCAGGCATTCGAAAAAATGCTTCACATCGGAGAGTGCTCATCCGCTATATTGTTCAAATTCATCGGTGATTTGGGTCTTCCTTTGTCGACGGCGGAATATGAACACGGATATGAAGAAGCACCGCCGGCCCTCGCGGAAACAGCAGCAAGAAAAAAGAAGCGAGTTACACCGCTTCGAGTTGTTGTGTTATTGTCACCAGAAGAAGAAAAAGAGGAAGAGAAAGAATGAGTCGGTACGTTCGGCTCGATGTTCGTTCGACATTCAACGGTCCACCACCCTCCCTATGGGTGGCTCCCGAATATGTCGTGGACGCTAACGGCACTCATACCGAGTAGAAGCTTTCCTTGCGGTGACTGATATCCATGTTTGACTCGCTCGTGTCTAATTCCTCGGCTAGCTGGCTGGCTGGCTAGCGGGTAAACTCAATATGATTTGAATGAGCTTCACCTGCCCGACGGATCTGCTTCGACTGAATTCTGACTGCTTTTGTGCAGAACTCTTCATACGGCCCGAGCATCGTGATGGATCCGCCGCCGATCCGCATCTGGAGCATCTCAAGCGTGATAATCCGCAAGGTTCGAATGCAGACCCGGGTACTCTTATCGAACTTGAACTTTTCTCGTGGAGTCGGGTCGTTGGCGGAACCTCCCGGAGCCCCGGCTCTGGCTCAAGTCCAGGGGAGGCAGAGTTCCTCTGAGGCCAGGGGCTGTTCGGAATGAGTCCGTGAGTGGCTCCGAGCCAAATACTCCTGAGCCTTCGATGATGACTTTGCTCGATCTCCATCAAGCGATCGATCGATGGATGGATGGATGGACAGAGAATGCACCATTTGTCCAGAGTAGATGTGGCATTCAGCTCCGGGTCTGAGAACCCGACCGGAAGAACAGCCCTGAGAAAGGGTTCTGCAGACCCAGGGAGCGGGAAGACGCAATCAGAGAGCCGGACGACCCCGGGTGCTGCAACCCGGGTCGGTTGTCAACCCAAGTGGGTGTTCTGTGCCTTATCCTTCGATCGACAGAAACGTCGACGACGACGTCGATGGTGTGGGATGAGTCCACGACGACGACGATTACGACGATGATTTTGGATGAATGCTCGCCTGCTTTGCTAGTTGGTTAGCTGCATGGCCGGCTAGTCGGATGACTTGCGGAGCGAACGGCTGGCTGCTACCTATTCCGCTGATGGATGTCGTTGTTGGCTGACGAGGAACGCTGAGCCGGTCAGCGCACTGTCAGTCGCAGATGTCGTGGAGACGCACTCGTGCCGGCAGTCTTCTCCGAGCAGACATGCTAGAGCTCAATCACATCACTTTGAGCAAAGCAAGTATGCGATCGGTGCGGCGGGCGAGCGGGCATACAAAGGCAAAGCACTCTTCAGACCTAGCTCGTTTCCCTCCCGTTAGCCGAGTTACGCACTTGCTTATGCAAGCAACGGACAGAAACGGTAATTGATTGCGTTAGATGAGTATGGAACGGCGGCAACATCAGGTCCAAGCACCTTCTGGCTTGCTAGATGGATGGATGGACGAACAGACGGATAGACAGGTGGATGTTCTCCCACCTTTCCCGGTTCTATTCTTCGGTCCCCCGAAGCGCTGGGCACGGTGACCGAAAGCTGGAAAAGCAGGTCTTGATAGCGGCCGATTTAGAGAATCGACATCCCGATGAATTATTATTTGAGAGGGAGGAGCACGGAAAAACAACTAAGCAAGTGAGTGAATGATTGGATGGTCAGATAAGCGAATGAAACGAATCATTTCTGATCCCGTCGACGGGTCGCATCAAGCGAGATTCAGGACCGATTTTGTAAGCCTGTTTTTCATTTCTCCTGCCCACTAAGGAAACGGAACAAGAACAGAGTTTGAAGACTGGCTGACTAGCTGGCCGTTCATTCGGTCGCCTGGCGAACTGACGAAGGGAGCAGCGGACAGATAGACAGATGCTGTGCATCATGCACCACTTGTGACTTCGACTTCTAGAGCGGAACCCACTCTTCTTGTGACTAGGCAGCTTCTATCGCGGGCCAAGGGCACGGGGCGCTATCAGAAGCCGTATAAGTGAAAACTATCTCCCTCTTTCTTCTTGGGACCACAAAAGCTTTTCACTAGCTCATTCTCCGACCAGATTTCGGAAATGCGGATGTTCAGTTTCGTATCGGAGAATCGGTTTCTGTCTTTTTTTTTGCATCTTGCACATGAGCTGATTATTCCATTCAGAGTAGATAAACGAGTCTGCTCCGTCCGAATAAGCTCGGATCGGCTCGATAAGGGTCGACCGTCGGGGGATCAAAACCTCGCTATGGGTTTGGAATGGATCAAGTGCCTCAACAAGCGAGGAACCGGGAAAATACATCCCGCATACCTTTGTTGCTCTCTTCGTCCTCCTGCCTTCGAATCTACCGACCAGAGCCCCGGCGGATTTCACTGTCGGCGAGCTCCTGACGAGTCTTGACTCTTCCGCCTTTCTTCTTGGATGGTCAGTTGAGTTTGTGTGCCCGTCGTCATTGCGAGGAGTGAATCGAGACGCGGGATATGACGTCTATTAGTGACACGTCTCTCGCAGAACGCTGCTGGCTTCTCGCACGGTCATGCCATCTTAATGGCGGCCAACTAGGAGGGTTTTTGAACCTGCACTAGGTAAAAAACTGTCAGTCCATTCAAGAGAATGAAAAAAAACGAAGATGAAATAACAGACGGGTTTCCGGCGGAAAACGTTCAGCAGAAGCAGCAGCGGGAAGGTGTTTCCGAAGAGCGAGCTGAAGTTTTTCCCTACCGAAGACTCCCTGGAAGAACGGGAATAGCCTCCTGGAGTAATTGTTTAACTACCTCCGTTTGAATCGGACGACACAATTTTGTTTTATGGTTGTGTCTCATCAAATGTCGACTCGTCGACAGAAAACACGCCATGAACATTTACGGAGCGACAGAGGTTTCGTCCTTATAACCAAGTGTCGCATCCACGGAGCACCGAGAGAATCTTGTAGAGAATAGAAGATGTATCCGCTGTAGACGCCGCGCTGCCGTCTGTGGGGAGCATCCCAATGCGTCGCGGAGTTCGATGACTCGAGAAGACAGCGGTGAGTGATCTACGTATCCAGCTGGAGTCCTCTAGGCTTTTGAACGTGCTGGGGGATTTCCGGTTGATTCGGGACCGATTTCGGGTCCCGCACCGAAGATGAGGAAGCCGTCGGTCGACTCGGCAGCCTCCCGATCCCGCTCTCCCAACACAAGGAATTCCTTAGTGGCGGACGAGATTGACCACGATGCTGCATCATTAGCAAGTGTCTGAAAGTCGTCTTCATCAACGTGTGCCGTTCGCGGTTTCTGAAGTTTCGCTTGATGCTCTGCGACACGAAGCGCCATTCGCTTGTATCAGAATGCCTAACGCAAGAAGAGTATTTTTTCCGGAGAGCTGCTGCGATCAGACATCGACTTCTACCTCAAGCCAGCCGTATGTGAGCGAGGCGATTACAATTCCGATTCCCGTCCTGGGCACTCATGTTCTCTCTCCTGGAGACGCGTCCCACAAAGATCAATGATAATTCAAGGGGCTTCTCAAGAGATAATGTATTTGTTCAACATCTATGCGAAATGTTTGGCTTTGGAATATTCACAACAATGACCGTATCGTCGCCTGCTTGAATGTTCCCTGCAGGATCCGAGCTACATACATTCGCTTCCGGGCTTCAGGTAGAGCCGCCTAGAGCAGCAACAACATTCTCATAAACTAGAAACGTGACTGCCGACGCCGGTGTGACCCTCAGAATATTGGCCGAGATGCCTTTGTAAAATCCGGTGATCCCCTCGTGACGCAAAGTTTGACGGATCACGTCCATCGTACCGGCGTAAGACCGGTGTTGGTCTTGCATGCGAGACCGAACCACTTGATACGGATAAGTGCAGATGACCGCGGCCACTTTCGAACTGGATGAGGTCAATAGAAACTCTGCCGTCGACAGCTTTTTTTGTTGAGGATTTTTTTCAGTTCCTCGTAGATCATGAATTGAACAGCGCCGTGAGTAGTTCCGAAAAGCCCGGGAACGAGACCCTTGTAGAATCCGAGCAAGCCCTCTCTCCTGTAGATCGTGCTAATGGCCCGGAGAACGCTGCCGTATTCCACGTTACCGACTCCGCCGCTGGCGCCGCCTTCGTAGCGGAGACACATTCGAGTTTTCACAACGAAGATGGGATTCGTACACAGGAGCGTCAGGACCCCCGACTGTATCGCGGCCTGCATGTGCTTGGCGGGTCCCAAATGAACGCTCTGGTCACCACCGTTCATGAAAGTCTTCGTGGCGTTGTAGAACACAAAGTACAATCCCCAAGCGCAACCGCTGCCGATGCAGTTTGGGGTCACCCCCTGATACAGTCCTCGGAGTCCTTCTGAGCTCCATATCGAGTGAGCTGCGTGTCGTAGACTCCTGTAGAGCGGTCGACCTTCTTTGCCGTCGTTGACACTCAGTCGAATCTTGAGCAAATCGAACGGATGAACCACCAGGGTGCTCAGGACTCCGCCGGCGACTCCCGCCACCAAATGCTCATATCGAAGCTGAGGCCAGTACTGTAGAACATCGTTCTTCGGATCTGTCACCGTGGTGACGACTTCCACCGCCATAGCGATGATATTTTGTGCCGATGATAGTGAGATATGTAGTTCGCGCACCACTCGCGTGGAGGACCGATGTAAGGTGGCCGTGAAACGAAGACACGATCCGACCCGTCTGCGTGATTATTCACCCAACGAATCTATGGCCACCTTCTGGCCCGGGAAGACCCGGGTCATCTTGCGAGATGAAGGAGCATCATTCGAGTAGACAAAAAATTCGAAACATTTCACTGACTGAGTGCTCATTGATCCGTTTTCTTATGACGGGGAGCAGACGACGTTTCTAAATGTTTATTTGGAAACGCGGCGGGAAATTCGAATTTCGGAGGGCTGCTCGACGAGATTACGTAGCGCGAGAGCGGAAGCCAATCACGGCACAAAAAGTTTGGGAGCCGGAAAATTCTCTGGTCTGAAGCACCGAAGGATCCGTGCGGCTCAATGTCTTCCCTGCTCTCTTGATTCCTAGTCTCCATCGGCATGTCTGATTCGAACTCTTCTCGTTGGTACCAAGAGAAACCCATGCTCCATGGGTCTAGGAATTTTCCAAGGTACGCCTCGGGATCGTATATGAGATCGCGCGCAGGAGGGAATAGGTTAGCGGATATTCAAGACGGAAAGTGGAGAACCCTCCGTCGGGTTTGTCGACGTCCCACCATAAATGGGGATTCCTCCGATTCCTCAACCTGTTCACGGGTTAGGGCGGGCGATCGAGCTCGTCGAGCGAGAAATGAGAAGTATCTTTGGCTAAGGGACAAAAAATGGGAGCGAAGATCATTCGACGAACCACGGCCACTCACATTGAACAGTTAGTAAGGCGAGTAACAGAGATCTCGCTAAACTTACGAACATGTGGCTAATCTGGAGTCGGAACCAGAAGCGAAGCGCTCCCTGCGGAGAGAATGCGACGGGAATCCCCATGAAGGAGGGCAGGAGGCTTTTTTAGCAATCCGGATATCATACACGGCTGCACTTTGGCGGGATCGATTTCGTCGAACCCATTTCTTTCCCTGATCCATCGATTGAATTGTTTAAGGAAGTCGTAGAAGAAAGTTGCGAGAGCCAATGGCCGGCGTTAACTTTCACCCGAAAAGTCAACTCTGTCCCATTTTACGCTCATCTCCGACAGACTTTTATTTGTGACAATCCACCGTCGTCGTCTTCGGTCGTCTTCGAAACAGCTCTGTAATAACAGCCCGCAATCGAGATGCGCATTTCTTGACCACGTCAGGCATCAACTGACGAACGGAGGAGCGGATGGACTGACTGAATACCCCAAGTCCATCGGAACGCTCGCATAACAATAATGTGAAACGACAAAGATATGAAATGTTCATTTTCCTTTCGGAAAACGAAAGAAAAATCCATCAGTTCGCGGCATAGTAAGGTGTCGCTCGCTTTTTCATCGGTCCAAGCACGGGACTCCCGCTCGTTGGGGTTTAGCGGCGGGTCACGAAGCGTCCACAGCGCTTCAGGATATAAACAAATCCGAACTTTAGGGAATCTACCGGTATTCCGAATCGCAAATCACTCAAACCACTCAAAGAGGGAGATTCATAAGCTCTGCTCGAGGTCAAAACGATGTATTGGTATTGGTATTGGTATTGGTATTGGTATTGGTATTGGTATTTATTTATCCTCATTTAAGTTTCTTTAAATGACACTTTCACTTCAGTGGCGAGTAGTCTCAGCGGATAAGTGGTTTCCTCCGGCGCTTGGGAATGGCTTGGGCCGTTTCGTGGAGTGTCGCGATCGGTTTTCGAGCGGGAGGGCTGGGGAGAGGTATCGACGGTGGCTCAAACAGAAATTCTTTTTTGAACAAATCGCTAGTTTGCACCAAGTAAGCCACAGGAAGTTGTTTCGTG